AGGAGGAGAAAATAGATGCAGCATCTGCCTGCCGGCCCCGTACCCCCGGCAGCCCTCATGCCTCTGCGAGCGACCCCCCCCCTCGCCCCCTCGCTCTGCCACAGCACTGTGGGTCCTCTGGGATGCTCGGCCACCCCCGACAGAGGGGCAAAGCCTTGGGTGGCTCCCAGATCCCAGGGGAAGCGGGTGGTCCCTCACAGAGCCACGCTGGCTCTTGCCGTGGGTACTGCTGTCGGAGGGCCGGGAAAGGAGGTGCCAGCCTAATTTTCAGCCCTGCTTCTGCCTCGCTGGCAGAACCCCAGCGTGGAAAGGTGATGGTGCTGCCAAGCCAGCAGGAGGGACCCTTGAGGTTTTCCCTCCTGCTGCTGGTCCCTGCCTTCAAATTTTTCCCTAATGAGTTTTCCTAATGAATTTCCCAAATTATTTTTTCCCGCGCAAACACCCACAGGTCCTTTTCCTTCCCATCCCATCAGAGCGGCACGAAGGGGATAGGAACAGAGCTGCCAGAGCTGGGGCGGCTGCCGGGAGGGTGACCAGGGATGCTCCGGCAAAGGGCAAGATCAGTGTGTCACACCATCCCTTGCACATCAGGCACACGTGGGGCTGCTTTTGGGGCTGGACAAGGCACTTTCAGCCCTGGACCTCCTGTGAGGGATGGTTTACAACCTGCCTGGGGCCACCTTCCCGGCTCTCTCCCATTCAGTTTTGCAATCCACCTGGAGAAATTGCAGCGCTCTCCCCAGCTCCCACCGGCGGCAGAGGTGCCAGCGCCAGCAGACGGAGCAGCATTCATCATGGAGGGCAAGGTCACCCCGAAAGCTGGGAGCACATTCATCATTTGGGCGCTTGGGTGGTGTGCAACCCCATCAGCAGCGAGCAGGAGGCGTTTGGGCTAATGAGCCCTGCCAAAACCAGTGGGGACCGGAGCCGGTTCCCTGAAGGTTTGCAGCAAAGCCATCCCCTGCAGCCCGTCTGGGCGCCGGTGGCCTCCGTGGTGGCGGCGGCAGTGGCAGGGGACCCCCGGCCTCGGCTGATAAAGGCACACCCTCGCAGCAGCAGCTGGGGGACACGATGTCCCCAAGCGCTGCGGGCTGCTCGCCGAGATCTCGGCTGGCACAGCTTGCCCACGCGCAAGCCAGGCTGCTTCACCAGGGCTCCTGGAGGTTTCGCCGGGGTTTATTTTCATTTGCCCCGAAAAAATTCCCTCCCTCGCAGCGGAGGAAGGCGAACGGCACCAGCCACCCCCCAGAGTCAGCAAAAAGTGTTGGGCATCTGTGTTTTTTTTGTAAGGGCGTTTATTGATGGGCACAAGGGCTGGGTGTCGAAGCAGACGCCCGCGCCGTCCCCCGGCTTCATGCGCAAGTCAGCGTTTGCACCGTAGCTGGGGAACGAGGTGTTGAAAGGCGAAGTGTTGGCCGGAGAGAAGAGTCCCCCTCCGTTTTTGGGCTGGTGAAGCACCGGGTGCCGTTGCCTGGTTGGGGTGACGCTGGGTGGGATGGGGGGAACCCATGTGCCCCCCCAGTGCCTGCTCCATCAGCAAAGCTCAACCCCCGGGGGCGGCTGTGCCGAGTTATCCTCCTCTGCACCAGGGTGATGCCGTGGCTGCTCGAAGGATGCACCAGCTCCCGTCCCCGTGCTGTGCTGGGGTGCCTCCGGGTGCTCCCCCTGCTCCATCCCCCTCTCCAGCCAGTGCCTTTACTCGGGGCCTCCTCCCCTGTCCAGTGCCGTCCACCAGCACGATGGACCCGCGGGAGGAGAGGCAGACGATGGAGTCGTGTGGCCTCGGTCACCTCCCTGCGCTTCTCCGACGCGGGCGACGGGGTCTGTAATGTGTGTGTGTATGGGGCTGTGTGTGCGCAAAGGGCTGTGTACAGGCGTGTGTAATGTGTGTGTGTGCATGGGGGTCTGTGTGTGCAAAGGGCTGTGTACAGCTGTGTGTAATGTGTGTGTATGGGGCTGCATGTGTGCAAGGGGCTGTGCACAAGTGTCTGTAATGTGTGTGTGTATGGGGCTGTGTGTGCGCAAAGGGCTGTGTACAGGCGTGTGTAATGTGTGTGTGTGCATGGGGGTCTGTGTGTGCAAAGGGCTGTGTACAGCTGTGTGTAATGTGTGTGTATGGGGCTGCATGTGTGCAAGGGGCTGTGCACAAGTGTCTGTAATGTGTGTGTGTATGGGGCTGTGTGTGCGCAAAGGGCTGTGTACAGGCGTGTGTAATGTGTGTGTGTGCATGGGGGTCTGTGTGTGCAAAGGGCTGTGTACAGCTGTGTGTAATGTGTGTGTATGGGGCTGCATGTGTGCAAGGGGCTGTGCACAAGTGTCTGTAATGTGTGTGTGTATGGGGCTGTGTGTGCGCAAAGGGCTGTGTACAGGCGTGTGTAATGTGTGTGTGTGCATGGGGGTCTGTGTGTGCAAAGGGCTGTGTACAGCTGTGTGTAATGTGTGTGTATGGGGCTGCATGTGTGCAAGGGGCTGTGCACAAGTGTCTGTAATGTGTGTGTGTATGGGGCTGTGTGTGCGCAAAGGGCTGTGTACAGGCGTGTGTAATATGTGTGTGTGCATGGGGGTCTGTGTGTGCAAAGGGCTGTGTACAGCTGTGTGTAATGTGTGTGTATGGGGCTGCATGTGTGCAAGGGGCTGTGCACAAGTGTCTGTAATGTGTGTGTGTATGGGGCTGTGTGTGCGCAAAGGGCTGTGTACAGGCGTGTGTAATGTGTGTGTGTGCATGGGGGTCTGTGTGTGCAAAGGGCTGTGTACAGCTGTGTGTAATGTGTGTGTACGGGGCTGCTTGTGTGCAAGGGGCTGTGTGTGTGCAAAGGGCTGTGTACAGACATGTGTGTGTGCATGGGGGTCTGTGTGTGCAGAGGGCTGTGCACAAGCGTGTGTAATGTGTGTGTGTGCACAGGGCTGTGTGCGTGCATGGGGCTGCTTACAGGCGTGTGTAATATGTATGTGTGCATGGGGTTGTGTATGTGCAAAGGGCTGTGCACTTGTGTGTGCATGGCGCTGTGTGTGTGCAAGGGGCTGTGCACAAGCATGTGTAATGCATGTGTGTGCAGGGTTGTGTGGGTGCATTGGGCTGTGTACAGATGAGTGTAATGTGTGTGTGCAGGGCTGTGTGTGTGCAAGGGGCTGCATACAGGCGTGTGTAACACGTGTGTGCACATAGGGCTGTGTGTTTGCAAAAGGCTGTGTACAGGCATATGTCATGTGTGTGCAAGGGGCTGTGTACAGGAGTGTGTAATGTCTGTGTGCAGGGATGTCTGTGTGCATAGGGCTCTGTGTGTGTGCAAGGGGCTTTGTGTGCAAGGGGCTGTGTACAGGTGTGTGTAATGTGTGTGTGTGCAGGGATGCACGGGTGCATGGGGCACTGTGTGTGTGTGCAAGGGGCTTTGTGTGCAAGGGTCTGTGTACAGGAGTGTGTAATGTGTGTGCAGGGATGTGTGTGTGCATGGGCTCTGTGTGTGCGCAAGGGGCTGTGTGTGCAAGGGGCTGTGTACAAGCATGTGCAATATGTGTGTGTGTAGGGATGCATGGGTGCACGAGGCTGTGTGTGTGTGTACAAGGGGCTGTGTGTGCAAAGGGCTGTGTACAGGTGTGGGTAACGTGTGCATGGGGCTGTGTGTGCGCAAGGGGCTGTGTGTGCAAGGGGCTGTGCACAGGCGTGTGTAATGTGTGTGTGCGGGGCTGTGTGGAGGCACTGGGCTGTGCCCAGGCATGTGCAACGTGTGTGTAACGCCTCCGTGCGCAGAGCAAGCACGTGGACACACGGGTTGCACGCACAACGCACGGCGCGTGTAAGGTGCGTGCACACACTAGGGCGGGTGTGCAACCAGGCACGCGCGGGGGTGTGTAAGGGGGGTGG